CCGCTCGTTTCGCAATGTTATTCCGGCGAAGCGGGATCCTGCGATTTCCCGCGAAGTGTGATGTCCTTTTGTTTTGGTTTCCGTCGCCGCGCGGTACCAGGCTGCATACCGGCGTTCTACAGAGAAGTCTACGAGAAGATTTGCTCTCCCACGAGTGGAAATGTGGAACGAGAGGTGTTTAAATCCCTACTCGTCAAGTCCCAGCTGAGCAGCTCCGTTCTCAGCCAGGTACGCTATCTTCCTCTCCTTCTTGTCTCTTTCTCCTTGCCGCTAGTCGTGTAGTCCACATGCTCACGTGGCGCTATTACGCTGTGAGCGTGTACACGAGACAGTAGATACGCTTGGTTATCATGCAGTGGGATGATATTGTTTAAATAAATGATTTTCTAGATCAAAATTATTATGGACTCTGAGAAATAAAATTAACTCATTTGCTACCGGGGAAGTTAAAAACGTCTTGCTCGGAGTGCCAAACATTGATTTTGAAGAAAACAAAATTATTTCCTTATTTATTATAAATAAATAATTATTATTTATTAGTATCCATTCTCTTTTCTAAAATTGACGTACGTGGAATGTAACAGTTAATCCAAATTTATGACGCAAACTACATGATATCTTGTAGCGAATGGGTTAAGTCTTTGCGGACGAGGATTTTCTTAAATATTTAAAAGACTTCTTACAGGAAGCCAATTTACACGTTAAACTCTTAAGTACTAGGAAACAAGGAATTGTACATTGATCTTTTGGTATTCGAATAATAAAGTTACCCTTTTGGTATTATTTATTTTAAATATCAACATTTGATGTCTCTAATACGACGATATTCGGCTCAAAGGATTAACATTAAAACTACCGAGCACTTAAATTGACTTTTCAATGTTTCTTTGAGAAAGCTATAAGCGCATATTTATTAAGATTTCAGTTTGGGTATTACTAAATCGGCTTGTATAATAGTTTCTCAAATAAGTGTCTGTACCTTTTCAGTTACTGTAATAGGATAAATCAGGAATTTTTACCCACCTAGTCTAAGCCTATGAACAATGTAAATCGCGAAAATTAGAAACTCTATTAATAGAGATCCTACTTTATCTAAGATGTTTTGTAATTGGTGGTTCAACTTGGCACCCTTTGATTTTAGACAAACAATTAAACGGAAAATATGGAACAACGTTTTTCGTTTGGCGTCTTGTTTCCGAGAAAATCAAGCGTGAATGTTTGTCGAACACGATTGACTGAGTTCTGATTAAATACAGCTGATGTGAAATATGTAGAGTTGAGCATTTTTATTTGATACCTCGTTTGTGAGTTTTAATTAGGTCTAGTAACAGTTAATCAAATGTAGAGTGGTAAAAAATGTTACATTAGAATAAAGCATGAAAGTTTCGTTCTATATTCTACATTTTAACAATCCTTCCTCCTATAATCGTGAGATTATCTTTTAATATGTTATATATTATATTCTTTATATAATTTATTTATATAATCTACATATATATTTATATAAATTATATATTATATAATATATATTCTTTTATATAATCCTGAGATTTCTCAGACTCGTGATGAAAATTTTAAACTGAAATCGACAAATTTAAATTTTACCTATTTATTTGGAACATAAATTGAATATCACGTGTCTATTATCGATCTTTAAATTTTAAAGTAAATGTAGATTCGGAATACGTATAAAATTCTTTTCTTTTTATACTAAATTATTATAAAGCAGTATTATCAAGCACGGTTGTGAAAAAAATCATAGGACATAGTTAACGATTGTATCCGTAGGACACCTTGTATATTCGCGTTCGCCTACTATTTTCCTACGTAGTCGCCGAGCGTTTGTGAATACTTACCGTAACAGAAAGCCGATTCACGTTTTGCGGTTGGAAAATATTCCTGCTTGTTCTCAAATGTTTCACGCCATGCGATGATTGACCAACGCCACAGATCATTACCGATTTAGAGGAATATAAATTTCAAATGTTCACAGATTCAGCGAACACGGATTCCAATACGCGTGTTTCATCGGGGCAATAATATGTTTTATACGTAAATCACAAGGCCGATAAGATACAGAAGAATGCACACAAATATGCAGACGAAAGAGCACAGTGATGGATTAATCGAATGAATAGTAGATAATGTCTCAAAGCTTCGTTATTGAGCTATAATACAAAAGTTGATTGAAGATTAATAATAATTAGACAGCGAAGTGACTAAAATTGTCAAAATTGATTCAAATTTTTTATTAAGGTTCTAGTAAAAAATGTATAAATTATGCGAGATTAAGTAAATACGTTTCATATTATTTTATATATTATTAATTATAAATTAATTATATTAAATGCATTATTAATATTAATATACTATACAATATTAATATTCATATTAATATATTATATAACATATCAATATATTAATCTGAGAAATTGAAAATATAAGATGAACGTTTTTTGCTTAAAGTTTTACTTCCGAAGAAATTCAGTTTGAATATTTCTTGGGTACACGTGGCACGTAGTAGAAGTTGGCTAATGCGTCTGGTCATTATTTACTGTTTCTTCTTATTGTATAATGACTGTCGGATGCACACGTATCAGATAAATTGTTCGTGTCGTTATTCTTGAACAGGAAGCTTGAGTGAAGAAAAATATATTCTGTATTTTCGATTTTCTTTTGCCTTGAGTTTCGTTTATTCACATATGGAAACAGATGGTTTGTCAATTAACATAAGAAATTATGAGACATTTTAACTCGATAAAAAATTGTTTAAGTTATAATCAAGATGAAATAAAAACATTGTTTATAAATATGCATCTGATTAAAATGTATTATATGAAATGACATTTTAATAATCGCGAAGTAGACCAGCAAAAATTAGAAACAATACACTCTTTGTAGAACACGATAAGAATAATTATTAAAACAAATTTTAAAACGAGAGGTTGTCATTACTGTCTTACAGATAATCATCGTGCGCAAGTTTGTTAACGCAGAAACAGGAAAATGTGTCCTTCGTCCATGACAACGTGTGATATCGTGAATAACCTTGGGTAATTGTGCGCAATAAATGGAATAATATTTTATCAATAGAAATTTGAAAGTACAATTCTGAATTCGAGCGTTGCAATATGTTCAACAATCAAGTAGTGAATAATATACAAAAAAGTAGAATATGAATAATAACGTTAATAAAAGTGTCTATAAAAAATAAAATGTGCAAATATTATTCATTGTCAGGAACTATTTGTAGAACTTTGAATGAAATTAAAATATAAACAAATAGAAGTCTATTTATTTGTTAAAAATCTTCAAGTCGATCAAAACATTACCATTTTTATTAGATTCGTGTTACTCTAATAAGTGTTAATAATGGAAGAAAGAATTAAGGAACTATTCACTTGTGTTACAGACAGCAAAATATATAAATTTAAAATATTTTTCGTTGCAGGTTAATTGTTGAACGTTTCCAGTAGGAAATTAAATGTATATTTAATCCTCTATCTTATTAGAGATTAAGCGAGCAATTTTTATAATAAATCTAGGCTCTTAAGTAATACGCTGCCGATCTTCCAGCAAATGCACATTTTCCAGTAGTATTTCAAAGCGACCGAGGATGCATACATATTCACTTTCTAATAATATAATCGTTGAAATGCATTTATGAGTATATAAACAAACAGATTAATAGTTCGTCGCAGTTCTTCCATTTGCGCAGTAATACCACTCACAGATTATAGTTCACTGGTTTAAATGTTTATATTTAACTGAATGATTTCACTGAGCGTTTCCCCGGTTTTCCTTATATTGATCGCTACATCTGCCGAATCGATGAAATAATTATGTGAAAATCCTCATTACTGACACAGAAGTAAAATGTAAAATATTGAAATTGTTTGTTTTAATGTTAGTTATACGGTTTCTTTCAACTATAATTAGAATGAAAAATATAAACAAACGTTCAGAACTTTCTGTATTTGAGAAAATTATTCTTTTTTATGTTTCTGTTAAATAAAAGGTAATACAATTTTTGAAGAACAGAACTTTACGACATCGTGCATATTATACAGAACAGGATTGGGCGAAAGAACTCCTCATTTATTACAAATCGGAAGTTTCTAGTGACGAATGAAAGATTTAGAAATTATTGACTTGAGCCATAAATAAAATCCGCTATAGACATTGAGAAATATTAAAGAGTAACTAAGTAACAACAGTAAACACTTGAATCTTCTACCATTAAGTCTAATTATTATCGATAATGCATAGTAGCTTAATAACAATAATTTTACTTTTCTTAACAGAAAGAAATATATATTTTCTTAAACATATTGAATTCTCTTATCACTTAATAAAAAAGTCTTTAAACGAGTTGAAAAAGTTGATGTAAATTTTAAATCCATACGCGTCGCCGTACCGTAGTGAAAACACATAAATACTACAAATAGAGCTTGAATCACATAACTCATTAAACCACTTATAAATATGAAAAAATATTCCAAACAAACGTTGCATGTTTAACAAATTATTATGTATAACATTCTCGAGTGAAGCATGGCAAATTTAATTGTAACCAAACTTCGAACATTATTTTCAGTAAAAATCATTGAAAGAGTACATCGAAAATTGCAAAATCAAATATTGCATACATTAAACAAATTCACGACATTCATGTTTCAATAAAGAAACGAATTAACGAGAATCTAATTACTATGATTGTGCTTAATTATCAATATGCTTCTTCATTTTAATTTGAAATATTGTTTCATACAAATCATTTAAAAATAATTCAAAGTGATAGAATTAGGACTTGCACTGTATTATCTAAATCGTTTATCTTCTGATATTAACATTTTCTTTCTAATTACCGATGGTAAGTGTTATGACACGTAACTGTCGCGAGGGCCACCCTGTATACATCTACGCACGCACAACGGTAATATGTGCATACGTGCCGAAACAGTTGCCACGTGAATAAATTTCCTACGTAGCGGTTCCCGGCGAGGAAAACCGTTTCAGAATTTTTACGATCGTGACGGGACTCACGACGAATAAGTTCCCGGAAGCGCTCTCACCCACGATTAGGCGTTACATCCTGAAGAAAAAAGAGGAACGAGCGAGATATCTCGGATAGCGTAATCGTTTCTGACCACGTAGCATCTTACGGGAGTTAATCTTGCAAAGGACATCGTCTTAATAAAGACAAAAGACACTTGGTTGTATTAGGA